TTTATATTCTCACCTGAAAAATAGGGGCTTGAAGTGTACTCAAACTTTCTCCTACATTGTAGAAGAGTTCAAGGAAGTAGGTACATTGCTTGTTGAGGTAGACTTTAATTAAAAATAATGATCCATTGTTTTGCTTTTCATGCAGCACTTCTGTAACATTCCAATAGAGCACGTACCAAGGATGTATCTGGCAGTCAGCCTTCAGACTCAACAATCTGCAACATCTCCAAAGTGTTTTGGATGGACCAAAGTGGCAAAGACATAGACACATAAGTGGACCTTCCTACCAAAAAACTGCAGAAAGATTCTTAAGTGTGGCTGTAAAGCACAGCCTATGCGTTCTAGAAATGGCAGATGGAAAGATGCAGAACTGTCATTTACAGTTTTGTGTTATTACAGTGCGACCAGGGGCAGTAGACATTGTTGTTGAAAGGTAATGACTCTTTGAAGTATCTAAGAAATATGAAACTTTGAAGACACTTTGAATATGCCATAGATATTTTTATGTCTCAAGCTATTAAAGTTTCTTTGACCTTTAAAGAACTTTACGTTAGCAACAGCCAGACCAGTCATTGCAATATATAACATTCTTGAACCAATTAAAGTCTATTTTGATTGAAAGTGACGTTTCTTCTAAAATGTTTATATATGTCCCAAAGAATATGTGTTCCAACTTTTATGCCCTTGTCCGCCGCGTAACGTATTTTTCCCTAAGAGACCGCGATAAAAAGGTAATTATGACACTCCTGAATTCAATCATATTATCTTTCGCTTTGCGAGGTAAATGCTGAACAGTGAGTATCTTGTTGCTCGAATTTTAAAAGCACTTGAATATGTATGACAACACTTTTATAACGTTTATTCAAGTGTCATGCATACGTTATAATGCTTGAAATTTACATTAGAGCAATATATATATTGAAAATAATGATCAGAGGTTATATAAGTACTATACAAAATATTTTATAAATTCGGCCATCTAAATAACCATACTAGTGATAATGTTACCTTACGGAAAACTATTCGCAATTGTGAAGCAGTCTCTCCATGGGTCAACGGTAAGTTTAAGCACTCATTTTGACGCCAGACATTTCAATTCCTCTACTGACCAAATGTGTTCTTATATTACCACAAAATCAAAACATTTTATGAATAAAACTACAAGCAAATAAAAAAGCCTATATTTATCACACATATATATATAAGCAGTTGTGCTATTAAATTAAAATAAGCTCACAAAGCAAGTTAATTTCACTAAATGAAATATTCTAAATTAGTATAATAACAAAAATGGCAGTAATATTCTCTAAGTGATATTGCTTAACTCGTAATTTACAAAAATGTTATTAGTAGAATAACAGCATTTTCGTCATACGTATGTGCATTAATATGAAATTGGATGAGACTTGGAGAGGATATAATATGATGAAACATCTCACCGGTAGTACATCGTATCTAAATTGGTAATTATGGGTTAAAACTCAACTTTATCGTTCTGATACACTAACAAGGATTTTGGAGATATTTCTGAATAAGACAAACGGTATTCGCAGTTGTTACTTTTCCTAGAATCTTAATATTATTAAAACAAATTAGTTAGTGAAAAAAACCAAACGCCCGGCATGGCCAGGTGGTTAGGGCGTTCAACTTTCAGCCGTGTTGGCGTTATATAAGACGGTCAATCCCACTATTAGTTGGTAAAAGAGTAGCCCAAGAGTTGGCGATGGATGGTGATACTAAATTATGGACCGCTAGCGCAGATAACCCTCGTGTAGCTTTGCGCGAAATTCAAAAAACAAAAACAAACAAACACAAACGTATCATGGTAAGTTGTCCCACTTCTACATACAGAGAAGCTAGTTAGATTAATTTTATGGGCTGGTTTTATAGAACCACTCAACCTAAGAATATCATCTTACTAAGCAGTATATAATCGGTTCGTTGTAAGCAAAGAGCTTGATTTTGAACACCAAAATATATCCATTTTTGTTTACTAACAACCAAACAAACTAATCTGTTACCTGTATGTTGAAGGAACGTGAGAAATGTTCGTATCATTCATTGACAAAAACTGAATTTTAACTTAACTGTGGAAAACCTACGTAATCTCGAAGGTTGTTCGTCGTTTAACCATGTGTTAATCCTCAAATTACAGTCTTATTTTTTACCATTCACTACTGGTGTGGTTTACATAATGAATCATATTGGGTAACTTTACCTTTTTTGTCTGTTACAACATTTATTGCAAAGTCCTGACAAAATAAACTGTGTAAAATCATTCATTTTTATATATATTACATATGAGACCCCAATAGTAAATAGTGTTTGCAAAATGCAATATTGATGCTAATTCATGATGATGTTTTTGTGTGTGTGACATTTAATTATCAGGGCTTCTGTAACCGAAATGTTCATGGACCCATAAATAATTATGTGTATAAAAACCACTGGGTTGAAATTGAAAAGCGAATAGAAATTGTATTCTCCCCTGCTAAGTCATACGTATTCATTAGTCGAGTTATCAAACAAACACATCTCTTGTATGTTTTAATATTTTTCTCAGTTTCATCATATAAATTAATTCCTTATTATTTAATCTCTAATGTTTTATTCTACTGTAAAAAATATGCAACTAGATATATTTTGGTCAGTTTATGATCAAAATTTTTAATTAGTTCCACGATTTAAAATTATGTAAATATAATTCTGAAATACATTTTCAAAACTTATTGAATGTTTGAGACACCAAGCTAACAGCTAAAGAAAAATCTATGTTTAAAAACTTGTGTTTTCGTAAGTGGGATCCTCAATTCTGATATCAGCACATCCTCGGAATGTTTCCTGCGGTCCACAACCAACAGCTCCAGTTCCGTCCTCACAGATTCCCCAAGTGTTTGCTTGTGAATGATGGAAGAAAACAAAGGATAACAATAAATAGGATGTTACCCAATAGTAAATATAAAACACACACACATATTGGAACGTAAAATGGCAATATATATTCATAAAGGACTAATATGTCATGGGAACAACATAAACCATCAGGACATCACCAATTATGTTTGACATTGATAAAGCAAGATACTAAAATGCTTTAACGGGAATTTAACTATCAAAGAACAGTCCCAAATTGGTGGTGGTTACTGTTGACCTTCTTTCTAGTCTATCAGTTCAAAATTAGGGCTGACTAGAGCCGATAGTGCTTGAGTATATTTGCACGAAGCAAACAAATAAGCATAATTAATTTTATAAAACTACGTTTTTGTTGTGTAATGAAATGATTGCTGAGCTGCTATATCCTGGTTAATTGAAAGATAATTAAGCTGCCATTCATGTCACGCTCTGGTTGCTGGCATCCGTTATTGAATTTTAAGGATATTCCAGTTGCTGCTAAAATTATGTTTTCTTTCACTAAGGGAATCAACATTTGGCGTTTGAAGTTGATCACAGTCCATGCTAACATACTCTTACTTCTGACACCTAAACAATCTGTGTAGTCTTAATTATCGAAGCAACCGCATATGGTCGCTACTATAACCAATTTTCTAAGTCTTTGGGAGTTGTTATCTAATTACATTGGATCATTACTTGGTGGGATGTGACTTGCTCTCTCAATAATTTTCGCCATTTTATACCATAGACTCCAACGAATGAATAAATTGTATTTAATTACTCTGTGTGCAAGTTGTAAATTTATAGAGATGGTTTAAAGTGTGTGGTTTGTAATTCTATTCCATACGTATTTACTTAACAATAATACGACTGTCGTGTTGATTTTTAATTTCCATCTAACAATCATGTCAAGACAAATTGTGATATGTGCTATGCATTTTATTTATTTATAAGCAATTTAACCTTCGTATATATCCATAACTGTTTGGTTTTCATATATTTAGCAGATAATAAGGTTTAATCGTAAAGTAGTGATTGACAAAGTTATTCTAAACTGTTCATGACTGAATTTGTTAAATATGATTTAAGTTTAGAGGTTCATACATAACTATATTTATTATAGTTAGACCAGTATTTGTAACATGAAATATAATGAAATGGCAAACTTTGTCTTATTTTATCACTGGGGTCGTATCTTAATGACGAGTGGACATTTTTGCACTCTTTTACCAATGTTTTTATCAGCTTCAAATGTAATGATATTTATGTGTCTGACTCTTCTTTCCTACAACAATTTTCCAAATATACCATAGTGATACCAAATGAATTCATATCGGGATTCAAGTTAGCTAAGGCGGATTTCATAATTTATCTCAAACCACTGCTTAATCCAAAATGCTATACGTTATGGTGAATTACCATGCTAGAAAAAGATATAATCATTCTCCTTAGAATTTCATTTTTGCACTTTACAAAACTTCAAAATACGACAAGGAATTCATAGAATCCATATGACCAACGAAACAATTTATACTACTACCCTTACCTGTCTTCATGATTGGGAAGGCATACTTATATCCTAAGTGTTCTCAGATTATGTTCAAACACAGACCCATCTATCGAAAGCAAATAGTAAGTAGCGAGATACATTACTTCACATGATTTTATTTCATTTATTTCTCCCAAAATGTGAGGTTTGAAGAACAATAAGGATGTACCGAGCTTTTCGTGCAATTCAGTAGAAGTGAATGTAGTGAATGTCCTGAACTCTTAGTGTCCTGGCTGTTGAATTTAATGACGCAGATGTACATGTCCTTTTATAACACATTTCAAAACTTACATTAATTGAGAACTAATTAATGTTAGGCTTTACATAGTCACTTCACAGCCAATGTATATGAGTAGGAGGGCTGGAATTCCGAGAATATTCATTAATTAGAGCACTTCAGTTAGAAGATCATAATTTACCCTTTTCTTAGCCCCTTGGTTACAAATAACTGTATGGAGTAGTTTTTAAACTTTTTAACGCAGTCATGCAAGTTGAGATTTCCCTTCGAAGTTCTTAGCTCATTACATATTAGAAGAAAAAGTTGATGTTTCCATACTTTTTTCATTACGTGAAAGGTGCTGAATCAATAATTGGGTCATTACTTAATAGAAGTGGAAGATGCTGTCTCTCCATTAATGGAGTGGGGAATTCTGATTTAGTAATTTTGGTCATTACTTAGAGGGGTGGAATGCTACTGTCTCAATACCGTTGGTTGTTACAGAATGGGATTGGAAGTTGCTGTCTCAATACTTTTGACCATTAGTTAGTGCGATGAAACTTGTCTCTCAATATTTTTCGCCATTACTTAGTAAAAGAAGGCCTTATTGTCTCAATACTTTTCGTCTTTACTTAGTGAGGATGAAGTTGCTGTCACAATACCTTTGGTCATTACTTAGAGGGGATGAGAGTTGCTATCTCAGTACTTTTGACCATTACTTAATAGGAGTTGAATTTACTCTCTGAATACGTTTGGTCATTTATTATTGGGAGAGGTACTTGCTGTCTCGATACTCTTGACAATTAGTTAGTGGGGTGCATGTTGCTCTGTCGATACGTTCGGCCACTATTTAGAGGGGTGGGATTTCCTGTTTCAAACTTTTTGCCATTACTTACTGGGGATACAGATGCTTCTCAATACCTTTATCTATTACTTAGTGGGGTGGGAATTTCTATCTTAATACTTTTGGTCATTATTTAGTGGAAATGGGAGTTACTGTCTCGATACTTTTGGTTATTACTTAATGGGGTGGGAGTTGCTGCTTCAGTATCTTTGGTTATTACTTATTGTGGGTAGGAGTTACTGTCTCGATATTTTTAGCCATTACTTGGTAGGAGGGAATTTATTGTCTGAAGACTTTTGGTCAGAAATGGGAGAAGTATTTACGGTCTCTATACTTTTGGCAATTACTTAATGAGGTGGGAATTGCTGTCTTCAATCTTTTGGTGATTACTTAGGAGGTGGTGGTGGTGGTGGAATTTGTTGTCTCAATACGGTTGGTGATTATTTAATGAGTATGAAAGTTGTTGCCTGACTTATCATTCTAGTTACTTAGTAGGGGTGGGAGTTGCTGTCTCAATACGTTTCGTCATTACATAGTGGGCGAGATAGTAACCTTCTCGATACTTTCTCCATTTGTTGCTACTTAGTGGGGGAGGGTGTTGTTCTCTCAATACCTTTGGGCGTTATTTAGGTGGGTGGAAGTTCCTGTCTCTAAACGTTTGATGTTTGGTTATTGGGGAGGGGTAGTTATTGCCTCGATACTTGGACATTATTTACTGGAAGCTTTAAATCCTGTCTCTGTAACTTTTACCATTACTTATTAGGGATAGAGTTCCTTTTTGAATACCTTTATTCATTACATAATGGGGTTGGAGTTGCTGCCTCAATGCTTTGGGTCATTTTTAGTTGGAGTGGAAGTTGTTGTCTCAATTCCTTTGGCGATTACGTACTGGAGTGAGAGTTGATAACTTAATAATTTTGATCATTCGTTAGAGTGGTAAGAAGTTACTGTCTCCATAATTTTGGTCATTACTCAATGGGGTTGGAGATGCTGCTTCAATATTTTGGTTATTACTTAGTGGAGTGGAATATACTGTCTCGATAATTTCATTCCTTGATGGGTGTTACTTTCTCAATACTTATGACTATTACTTCGTGGGAGTGAGAGTTACCTTCTTAATACCTATTAACATTATCTAGTGGCCGTGTGAGTTCCTCCTTTGATATTTTTTATTCATTACTTAGTGGTGTGGGAGTTAATGTTTCAATACCTTTGGCCATCGCTTAGTGGGAGAGGTAGTTGCTGTCTCATTACTTTTGGTCATTTCTTGGTGGGAGTGGGAGTTACTGTCTTAATATTTCTGGCTATCATTCATTGGTATTGAGAGTTGCCATTTCAATACGTTTGATCATTTTTATTGGGGTTGTAGTTTCTGTCTCAATACTTTTGGTCATTACTTAGTGAGTGTGGGAGTTACTGTTTCTATACATTTGGTCATTACTTGTTCGGGCTGGAAGTTGCTGTCTTACTACCTTTGGCATTACTTAATGGGCGAAGGAGTTAACCTCAATGCTTTTGGTCATAACCTAGTGGGAATTTCTTTCTTAATACTTTTGTTCATTACTTTGTGGGGTTGCAGTTGTTTTCTCAATAGTTTTGGTCACTATTTTGTTTCACAATGAGTTGCTGTCCCAATATTTTGGTCATTTCTTAGTGAGAGAAAGAGGTCATGTCTCAATACTTTTAGTCGTTTCTTACTGGGCACAGGTAGTTGATTTTCAATACTTGTTGAGTGGAAGTTGCTATGTCTATACTTTTGGCCTGAACATACTTAAGCCCAATTAAATTAACAGTTCGCTATAATTCTCTCAGCAGTAAGTAACTGGTAAGGGCTACAATGCAAAAATTATACACAGACATATCTAAAATGTCTTACCTGTTCTATAGTGCCATTGGAAGACGCAGCGTTCACACGTGAGGCCATGTGGGAGTTTCAAGTCAATCAAGAACACTCCTTTTCCCGATCCAAGAGGTAATATGTATTTGTATCCAGAACCATCAGCTAATTCGAGCACATGTTGATCTAGACAATCCTGATCCTCTTTTTGGTTTTCATATCTTTCGAGGAATACAAAAAAGAAAAGGGATGAACTCCAAATAAGAAAAAAAAAAACTACAAAGCCATTAGTGATAATTTTTATCTATCTATTTATCTATCTATCATATATAAAGTTATATCATACAACAATTCCCTCAAACTTCCGGCATACTTGAGTTTATGAGTATGTATGTGTGTATACTTTCTTATACGTATGCATAGCTTTATTGAAAGTGAAACTGAGCCTTTTCCTCTAACTGAAGTTGTATTTATGCTGTATTTTTTGCAGCTTACTGTCTAGAGTATTGTTTAAGTTGTTTTAGTAGGATTACTCTTATCTGTTCTTTCATGAAATTGTTTTGTCATCGTAATCTAGAAGTGAAATCGGATCATTATTGTTTTTTTTCATTATTTTAATTCAATTTCGTGTTTGCATTCGAACAAAGGTCTGCTAGAGTCTTTAGATAACTGAATAAACACATACTATACAGAAACGTCTGCCATGCAGAACACTGCAAATAAACGGCTCTACATCCAACACTAACATTTGTTGTAGTAATTTATCTGAGATGTTAGGCTACTCTAAAGTTTAATGGTCTTTTATAGGTCACAGCTTGTAACTTGTGTAAAGTTTTGCTAAGTTATTAAAGGAACATTAAATCTACAATAGTAGATGAAGCAAACCACTAGGCTGGCCAAGTCTCCTGAGGTATTATTGAGATTACGGCCGAAAATTTCGTTAAAAGATGAAGCAATGCATTCGAATCTTTAAAAGATAGAACGTAACAAACATATATTTTATTAACTAAACTCAGATATGTGTTGAAGTTTAATTATGATCTATGTAACTAGATTGCTTTGATCAGAAGTTAACAATAAATGCTTTAGAAACAATCTATCAAACAGCCTGAAATAGAATATATTGTCCATCTAATAAATGGATGCAGTTACGAAACGCTCGTTACTCTTCTGATACCTTAGCAATCTCATTCTTTAAATAATTGCCATCTAAACTTTAAAAATCTAACAAACACGTTGTTAAAGAGTCGTCAGTTAGACCAACTTACAATTTAACAAACCAACGCTGTAAATAAACGTTTGTTACTCTACTGATAATTTAAGAAACACGTTGTTTAAGGAGTCGCCTACTGGAGGAAAACGACAATTTAATAAACATACGCTGCAAATAAACATTTATTACTCTACTGATAATGTAAAAACTCATTATTTAAAGATGTGTCTGCTGTATGGTAATGATAATTTAACAAACATACGTTGTAAATATACGCATTGATTCCACTGATAATTTAAAAAACACGTTATTTAAGGAGGCGTCTGGGGTATGATATTGAAAATTTAACAAATACACCCTGTAAAAATCTATTTTTAGAGTACTGGTAATTTAAGAAATTTATAATGTAAAAATATACTTGCCATTTTACTGATAACTTAACAAAGACTTGATAGAAGTGACTTAACAAACAATAACAGTAAAGAAACACTTGCTATGTATTACTGATATTAATGAATTAACAGAGCATACTGTAGAACAACGTCCTTTAGAAACTGTTGATGTATTAAGAAACACGTTTTGCAAAGGAACCCTTTCTTCGTTTTACTTATGGCACAAATACTGTACTATAAAATGTAATCTGCTGCATTTCACGGATAATACAGTAAGATCACGTCGTAAAGAAACGTTTACGATACTGGTAATTTACCAAATATAGCTATGAACAAAATCAATTCTATACACTACTACACTTAAACAAACACATGCTGTAAATAAATGTCTATGGTAATCTATCAAACATACCTACTCTTAATAAATAGGCATAGTATTCCGAAAATCATTTAATCTTGAAATTCAAGTGAGGTCCAGTTCAATCTACACTTTGATCAACGTGTGTTATTGGGTTATACTAGTTTCGGAGAATTCCACTCCCCAACAGTATCTCTGAACACAAGTTAACTAAAGAGAGATAAGCTGGACCTATATCATAATGAAAAGTATCAAACATACTTTTGGTGTGAACATACTTTGTAGTCACTATGGATGTGTAGGTTTTTCTCATAGTGACTACAAAGCACGTTCACGCCAACAGCATGTTTGATACCGTTTATTGTTTTTGATTATTTGTTTTACAACACATACCTCGTTCACAAGATTTCTAAAATATTCATCTACAATGTGCAAAAATATAACAATACGTTTGTTTTCGAATTAAAATAAGTTTTATACCACTTACAAATTAGTAAAAAGACATAACGAGAGTACCTAACTGGACATATTCGGAACTCAAAGTGGCCTTTGTGGTGAGCTGTAATGTTAACTGCAGCAGTAATTGTCTGACCATTCTCATACGTCTCAACTATGATTCCATTACCGTATTTTCCTCCATTTTCGTTGGCTCTTGGCTGAGGCTCGTCCCACGGATCTCCGCAAATTCCACATTTCCCATTGTTGACAACCCATTGGCGCTAAAAGACGAACCGAAACGTAATAAAAAGGAAACAAACTAAAAACGAATAGAACAAAGAACAATATGATAATCAGGCTGATACTAAGTTAATTTAGTAAGAGTATAATAAAACCCAGTTGTTTGAAAGAAAACGTCTAACTAATTTTTTGGAATGTCAAAAAGTTAATATATAAAGAAATATTCAGTTTTGTGAGTTTGCTCTATTCTTCTTGAAATAGAAACTAACATGTACATTGCGAAATGTTATTTTACATCAATATTGTATTTTTCAGTCATTCACAGACTAATATATTAGAAACATCTTCAATATATCACAGTGGAAACACAATGTAAATCATATTTACCAGTTGTTATGTCTAGAAATGACCCATTACTACATTGTACTGTTTATTTTGAGACTACAATTCGTAATAATTATAAGCAGTTATGCTATAATAAAACGTGGATTTTATGTAAAGATCAAGTTTTATTTGTTTTGTTTTTAATCACAAACCTAAACAATATACTATCTGTGCTCTGCCCACCATAGGTATCGAAACCGAATTTTTAGCTTTTAGGCCCTCAAATTTACCGATGAGCCACTTGGTGAAAAAAGGATAAAACAAAGGATAAAGATCAAATCAAAATTGAGTTGTTTAATAAAGACTAGTTGATATAAAACTACAATATAAAACGTGTTGGGTACGTATTTTTAAAGCACTTTTTAAAAATGTCGTATTCGGTGTACGCTTATGTAATGTTTCAAGACTATTATTTCATTGTAGTGTTGTAATTTCTTTATCTTTTAAGGTTCTAAGATAATTATGACATTTATGGTTGACTTCACGAATTCTTCTCAAAATGTTTGTAGAATCCTGTTCGTTACAAATTTTGAATAATTTTTGTCGGTGTTGTACCATGTCCTGGAAGCTATATCTCGTAGGCGGCACATAACCCGTAATGAATATTTTTATTTGAATATGTTCTAACTGAGATTTAGGAGGATGAAATTATAACTGAAATCCACAGCATTGTTTGTTTTGTTTTTTTAATTTCGCGCAAAGCTACACGAGGGCTATCTAAGCTGGCATATCTTCTAAGTTGTGTAGTGCATCCTGTGAAATAAACACCTCACAGCTAGAATCCAATCAGTTTGTTTTCTATCGTTAGCAGACACTTCGGTAGCATGTATTGTATACTTTTATGCTTTTTACACTTGACGAAGACGTACATGATAATTTAACTCTTAGAGATATCAAAAAGATCGTGTCAGAAAGTCTTGGTATCTAGAGGAAAATGCTTGTTTTGTTTGTTTTGAATTTCACGCAAAGCTACAGGAGGATAATCTGCGTTAGCCGTCCTTAATTTAGCAGTGTAAGACTAGAGGGAAGGCAGCTAGTCATCACCACCCACCTCCAACTCTTGGGCTACTCTTTTATCAACGAATAGTGGGATTGACCGTCACATTATAACGCCTCCATGGCTGAAAGGGCGAGCATGTTTGATGTGACGGGGATTCGAATCCGCGATCCACGGATTGCGAATCGAGCGCCTTAACCACCTGGCCATGCTGGGCCTAAAATCCACAGGAAATCAGACTTTTAAGAAGATATTTGCTTATGAATACAATGTGAGAGTTGTATCTTGTTTTGTTTTGTTTTTAAGAGTAGTAGAAAATACTTTTAGGCCTAACTTCAAAGCTGTTTGTTTTGTAGTTACGCAGAAAGCTACACAATGGGTATCGAAACCCGGTTTCTAGCGTTGTAAGTCCGCATACATACTGCTGTGCCAGTGGGGGGCAACTTCAAAGCTGATTATTCCAACGGTCTCAAATGAGCAAAATTTTCTGTCGAAGAGAGTTGTAAAACTGTTTCGCTCCAGCCATTTTTATAAAGAGATCGTCTAGGTTACAGCTAGAAAAGTCATCCTTTTAAAGTAAAATTAAAAACTTGGCGATTCTTTAACCTATTCTTAATTTAGACATTTTTGCTGCCTATGCGGTTAACTATATATTTCTAAGTAATTTTAAAGTTTTGACGAATCCATTGTTCTTGGCAAGTACGTTTCATTCCACTTTTTTTCCAAAATTCATAGGCCTTTAAGCCCGATCAATCAATTATTTTGAAAATATGCATCTATACAAAAGCTATTTTCAGCGCATATTTCATGTTGTTGAAATATTATCAAATGCTTACTTAAAAGACGGAAAAACAATTTGTTTTTTTGATATGTAGACAAAAAATATAAAATACTATAAGATTAAAACTCATGTTAAAGTTTTTTAACATAAAATATCAATTTGAAAAATACGAAAATAAATAGATGTAGCCATCTATAATAATAGACGGCTACAAGAGGAAAGAACCAAGAAACATGAAATTTTGCACACATACTAAGTGGAGACTGAGAATGTACATTTGTGTATTGTCACTTATCCACGTGCGTGCGTATCTTTTTGTGAAGTAAGCAAGCGAAAAACCACATATAAAAGAATATGTGACCGCCATAGCTCCAGGAACAAAGAACCTAGAAACCTGAAAT